TGTGAGTTCAGACATAGCTGACCTACAGCTTTCAGAAACAGGGACATTTTCCCAAACAAACAACATAGGCTGCCTGAGCTCTCCTATGTGAACAAGTACAGCTAGCCTTATTAGTTAACAGCATATCCTTAAACAGCTGCAAGACTGCTTGGTTAGACAACACCATCTAACCCATAACTCCTTCTGCATGAAAATGTCTCTTTTGCTGCCCACTATATATATGGTTTGAATTTGATATATATTTATAGCATTTCCCCCTTCCCCCCCTCCAAAACAGCCATGTCCTAGCTGTAGAAGAGAACTACTACAGTACAGTATTGCAGTTCAGGACAGAGACATTTGAGAAATATTTCAATGTCTTTACACTACCATATCAGCCTTGATTTTGAAGACTAAAATCCCTAGGCAATTTCTGTTCTGTCTGCGAACTCATTAAATAGCTAGCTGAAATCTAATGTTAGCACTTACATCACATCAAACTACAGTGCCTGGAAGTTTGTGAGGGGGGGATATGATTAACAGAGGTGTAAATTACACTGGCTTATTTACTGTTTATGATCTAGGAATTAATCAGACCCTTCACAGATCTGAAAGAAACCATCAAAAAAACAGCCACACACAAGACTTCAGTATGCTTAGGAGTCATATCTAATCTTCTTTGACTTAGAATTATTCAGCCCAAAGTTAGAAGCACCCTGTATTTTTACAAGTCAGAGGCAATTATTAGAAGATATCTGAAAGGTAGGAATATATTAAAGATTGATTGTATGGCTTTATTATTTATGAAAGGTCCTTTCAATTTTGGAAGGTACACAGTCTCTCTAAAACATGCTATACCAAATTGTAGCTTGCTGGGGGGACAATTTCTGTCATCAGCTCAACAAGACGACAAGCTATCATGTGGCAAGAGGCAAGAGGCCAGGAAAATATTTATCTCACTATAAACGTAAATCCCTTTCAAATGTCAGTAGTTCAAAAGTCCAATATAGACTCTTTTACCAGCCTGCATATCAAGGACAGTTAGTCAAATATCTACTAAGCATCCAAGATTGCAAACCACAACATTTAGCAGGTATTTTACACAAAGTGCTTAAAAAGATATAATTAGGAACATTACAGGTTAGTTTTCCCAGTCTGTGCAAGGCAAACTTTCCTCCTCATCTTCCGACTCTGGTGATGCTTCCTTAATTCTTCGAAGTGCTTCATGGATGCTACGTGTCAGAGGATCAGTGTCAGGCAGAACCATAAAAGATTCACGCAAAACATCCTTTTGCACCTTCTTCAGCTTCACTCCTTTCCTTATCTGTGCCAAGATGTTATTGCTATCATCTTCATCAGGGAAAGGAGGGAGACTTCTCTGCTCCACTTTTCTTAGGTGAAAACTACCACGCTTCAAGGAAGCCAGCACCTCATCCATAGGGGAACTCACTACAGTAGACAAAAACATGGCCAGTGTTAATCTTAATGTATTTACTCATACCAGCATCTTCATTTTTATATCTTCAGTTATACCAAGCAATAAGATGATGCCATTTCCTAGGTAATTTTAAACCCTAAATAAATCTCAATACCATAGATACTATGAGATAACTGTTAATTGTTTCCATCTTTGAGTGCATTTCCCCCATTGCCACATATAAAATTGATGGAATGACAAAGTATATTCCAAATTTGTATGTATATGGATTTCCAATATTAAAAAAGTAACTAAGACTGAAAAAAGGGAGCAACAATATTACATGGTAACAAACTATTGACAATCTGGAGAAAATGGTATTTAAAAAAAATGCAGAACTGTGTTGCTCCAGCAGTATTCAGTTGTTCCAAATTATTTTAGCATTTAACAGTCTTACATAAATTTTGGTTTTATCAGAATGGCATGGCTAGAGTGCTCCTGCTATACTTGTCATACTATGTTGATGAGTGAAAATGTCACCAGAAAAAATGCTTTTTTATTTTTTTTGGTAGAAGTGCATGAAAAAAAGTTGTTGTATATAAAAGTTTAAGTCTATATAAGCCTGTTGAGTACAAGCATGTACCATGAATCAAGACCTTTCCTATGAAATCCCAGATAGTCTAGTTGTAATGGGGCAATCTGGCCAACACCTCATGCTCTTGAAAATCTGATCCTCATGTTCACATTAAATAACTGCATTTGTACACTGGTTTGCATCCATGGTCAAGGTGTTTTCCAAAAAATGGGGAACTGCTACCCTCCCTCTTTTACAGATGGAGTAAGGAATGCACATGTTGTTTGAAACTAACCAAAGCAAGTTCACCTAGTGGGTCCATGGAAATTGGAAACAGAATACGTCTCCAAACTAAGCCCTATTTACAATTTATTAAACCTCAGTTGCCCACTAAGTTTAGATTGGTATAACTAACTATGCACTGAGATTTATCTGCAGAATTAGTTTGCAGCTTTAATTCTGAATACGTTTGGCTGGGTTTTTTTAAAAGAGCAAAAAGTAATCACATAAGCGAGTGTACACTTAAAACTATCTTAACAGTTTGATCAAAACAACTTATATGATGAAACCCACCTTTAAAATAAATATATTTTTTAATACACTGCAATTTTTTGTGTGCATACCAAGTTGCTTACAGGCATCAAAATGTTGAGGACACTCTCCAAAAAAATCAGAGGGGATAAAACAAAACACTAAAAATCTCCCTGATGTACTTCAACTGGCCCAAAGTTTCTTCTTTAGCTTCATACTCAACATAAGAAATTTCAGATGAAAAGAATGTTTGAGAGCCAAACCTAAAGAGAGGTTGTCAAAACGAGATGAATTTACATAAATAATTAACTGCAATAAGTCAGTGTAATTCCATGGTATCACTTAACAAGTGCCGCTATATTCTTCATTTCATGGATTTCGTAATCTTTAACACCATCAGTGAAAACCAGAAACCTGGAGAGTAGGCACTATTCCACCTGGGCACAAGCTGACTGGTAAACATCAATGCCCTGCCAATGCTGATGGGAAGCTGTGCAGATGTACAGAACTGCATGTGCAAAGTTTCTTCAGGACTGGGACTTTGTGCCTACAGCAGCAGAGTTGAAGTGAATGTCTTTTCATGTTGACTTCACTACCCATCTAAGAATCCTAAAAGACAACTTGTGTGATACGCCCATGCTCTTTACAGTTTGCCTGGTACAGAGTACCACCTTCAGCCATTGTAAAGAGGTCTGATTGACAATATTTTTAAATGTTGGAACAATTATGCAAGTGATTAAAAATTTGCTTCCAACTTTGTAAACTGTCAGACATGCATGTTTGCATTCAGACCTCACTCACAGAGTTATGGAATTCATAGGTTTTTGGACAAAGATCTGGGGAACACTTAAAAAATGTTTTTAATGATTCAAAAACTGATTCCTGGATCTTCCTGGGTCACTCACCACAAAGAAGTTCAAATAACATTTATTTTGAACAGGGAATGATGGAGCAAAAAGGAAGGCTAAAAAGACTGGGGTTCCCATAATGCTTCCATGAATGAGGACCTTCCATTATTTATGGCTCTGTTTATAGCTCTGGGCCTGTCTACAATTAAGGATAATTAAAATCACAATACTTGCGCAAAGCAAAGAAAACAAAGGTCATTAAATGAAAGGTCATGATAATATAGAAAACAAAGGTCATTAAATGAAAAAGTACCAAGAGGAAAATCCTATATCCACTGTACCCACACACCTGATGGCCAAGGTTCCTGTCCAAATTGGTAAGGAAAGATGATTTTCCATGCTTTTCAAGGAAACAAAGAAAACCAAGCATCGACATTTTAAAGCCACCTGTGTTTTTAAACTGCTGATAAGTAGCCTGTGGTAGTTTATTCAAGGCTGCCAGTACCAACTAGGTTGATGTAGAAGGAAGTAAATACATAGAGAGGACACATCACAGATAAGGTAAGTGTTAAATATTAAATTTGTTTGCACACAGTTAAAAAAAGCTGGACTGAATAAAATATATATGCTTTACCGCCAAAGCTTTCTATGCACTTCATTATCTGTTTTTGCAGATGTGGAAACTGAGGCACAGAGGTGGAAACAACTTGCCAAAAGTCACCCAGAAGGCTACTGACAAAACCACAAAGTAAGCCTGATCTTCCAAATCCCAGCCCAGGACTCCATCCAGTAGTATACAACTGAAACACCTGAGCAAAAATTGCAAATTGTATCTGAGGATATGTGGGATTAGAGAAGAGAGTAGAAGTGGCAGGGACTTCCTGGATCACTGAGTCCAGTCCCCGACTAAGGCAAAAAAAATGCATCATGCTTGAACCATTAATAAACTTGTAATCTTTTTCAGTCTATACTGTATAACTGCTGCACACAACAGTGAAAGTTCCCATAATTTGAACGGGTGCATTTTTTAGTCTAGGGAGCTATGCCAAGTGTTGCATTACTTTTTTATACAGAAATATAACACACCTACTTCTCTAGAGCATTCCCAAAGAGGGGAACTAGCCAACTGGTAATATATTACTTAAACGCTAATTACAGTTAAATAAATATAAATACAAATATTACCTCTTCTCCTCTGCAAACCTTCTAAATCGCCTGTCTTCTTTAGTTTCTTCTTGGCACTGACTAACTGACTGCTATCAAAAAGATGTGCTGATGGGATACTGACAGACTGTGGGACTTCTTTACCCTCACTTTCCTGTTTAATGAGGCTGTCACATTTTCCTGAGGATTCTGTGGCATCTTCCTTGGTAGGCAGAGGTGGTGGTGGTGGTGGTGGTGGTGGTGGAGGCAGAGGAGGAGGAAATGATACAACAGTAACAGTATCTGGCTGAGGGTCATTACTGGCAAGAAGTGGAAAAGTACTAGCATGAGACAGTTCAGAGGTAACACCATTAGGAGGTAATGAAACATCTTCAAGTTGTTCTAAACTCCTGGGCTCCTGGGTTTGTAAAGGCTGGGTCGCTTTTCCCGATTCTGTCTCTTCAGTTTTCTCTTGGGTTTGGGAAGTTTCTGGCAGAGATCGAGGTTCATCTGTGGAGGGTATTGAGCTAGCTGAACTTTTCCTTTTTGCGTGAGCCAGTCGCAGTCTGGTTGATTTAAGTATAACTTGCCCAGGGTACCGCTAAAAGGAAAAACATTATTTAAGATTATGTGAGTGTATGCAATGTGCTATTCTAGATGCTGACAATGAACCGATCAGGGCTTTAACTTTTCTGATCATTACTGTATTGCAAAGGAATCACATCCAAGAGCTATTATGCTGTACATTTTCAATGTAAAAACATTCCAATAATGTAACATTCCAGTACATGGCAGCCTAGTGATGACCTCTGACATTAACATAGTGTAAGCATCATAATTTGCAATATAAACCCATCACTCTGTCTACTCCAAATGATATTTAGCAAACACTAAAATCCCCTTCCTCTCCAGATATGCAGACTAGATGTATACAGATGGCAAGAGTAATGCATTTGGGAAGTGGGAGGAGTAAAATGTAAATAAGGACTACCTAGGAAAACAGCAGTTAATATTTTCCAATAGTTCTGTTCTGACCCTCCAAACACCTAAGTTTTCTTTCAGAATATAGTTTCAAAGCAATTTCAAACTGGCTCCTAAATCTGCATCTACCACGTCATTGAAATCTACAGCTATGTATAAAAAGGTTGTGGATTAAATTAAACGCCGATTTTAAGACACACAAGGGAGATTTGCCATCCAACAGGTGAAACAGGCACTAGCCCTAGATGTCTTGCAGGCGTGCAAGCCCTTTAGGTGTACACTACTATTTTTTAATAGCACAAAACTAAAAGGATCTAGACAGTAATGGAAATTTTCTTAATTTTACTGCTTGTTCTAATTTTATTGCTTGGTTATATAGACTAGCAACAGCTAGAAGCATTTTTGTATTCAGCCCCTCTGTCTGTATCTGTCTGGTGTCTTTTCTCTGATACTTTGACTTCAAACTCCCTTAGGAAAGAATTTTCAGGCATTATAAATTGGAGGGAGGAGTGAAATGATCCAATATATATGGAAAATGGCATATGGTTTGTACTTCTGTAAAAGAAACACTGCAAACTTCATTTAAAGTTCTTCATTAGCTATAAGAAATGAGAAGAGGAAGTACATTTACCATATCTTGTCCTAAATCCTAGAATGCAGGGAATTTTAATTCCTATTCTCCAATGAATGCTTAAGTATTTAATGAAGAATATTAGATACTACACAAAGCTATTACAAGAATGTAATTTAAAGAAGAAATAAAGAAGTGGTGAAAAAGAATAGTCACTTTTCTTTCATTACCAGTTTAAAATGTGAAGATTAGTCATTTTTCTTTCATTACCTGTTTAAATGTGCGAAGCCTGTCCAGTGTTTTTTGTCGCTCCTGACTAACCCAAGAACTTTTTCTTTCCTCTTCATCTTGCAGTTGATCTCGCTTCTGAGAAGGGACATAAAAACATGCCAATTAGTTTTACAGTGCAACACTTAATATTGTACACATTTGCATCTGGATAACAACTATGCCAGTAATTCAGCAATTCTGAATGACTTGACAAGTATGATGCCAAATAAACTTTTTTATAAACTTGGAAACCAGCCTTACCTCTTTGTTGCTCATTTATAAGACTACTCTGCATTCCACATTTTGCAGCGTTAGATAACATAACACATGTCCCTTATTTACTGATACTATAATTATGAACTTAGAAAATAATCCCTAAAAAGATACTGAAATGACTGAGATGGTTTACCTTAGAAACATGACAGAGATGGACATGATAACCAATACTGAATTTACAAAATGGTACACAGTAGATCGATATGGAACCTTATTCAATTTATGACAGCCCCCTAATGGCACAAGGGGGGCAGTCATAAATTTGAAGGCTGCAAATTCAGAACTGTTCAAGGGAAGTACTTTTTCCACACAGTACAGTCAGAACATAAGACTAGTAACCACAAAGTATTGTTGAGACCAAGAGTTTAGCAGGATTCAGATAAAGATGAAGCTATGCCTAAAAGGAATACTCATGTTTTAATACTAAAACCCAGCACTTTGGAAGGTATATAAACCTTTACATTTCAGAGCATAAATCAACCTCCAATTTCTGGGAGATAGTGGGATGTTTTCCCTGGGTACTGGTTATCCAATAACAGCCTACTTCAGGTTTCCATCTTCTGAAGCAGTTGCCACTGCTCAGTGTTGGAGGTAAGTGGACTTAAGGGGATGATTTCATTCAGATTGTGTGATCAATTAATGCAATAGGACTAGCCAAAGTTAAACTAAAAATGTAAATAACTGAATACCAAAGTATACTTAGGTTCCTGTGCCTGAAAACATACTACTTGTAAAATAAGGAATTAGCCCACCTGGGAGATTCTTTTAAAACAGAGTCAAAGGTTCATTAACAAGAGCCTCATTTTCAAACATATTTATTCTGCTACAAGATAAACCTAAAAACTGTCTTTGTACACATCACATCATTCAATAAAAAACCTATTCTTTATATTCTTTGACTCAAGAAGTCCACATCAGAGAAAGTTAGAGTGCAGGCAATTGCTGAAAAAGAACAACAAATGGCCCCTCCACTTGTATTACACAATTAACTGGTTAACTACACAATTAATTTAGACCAGCTACACATGCAAAATAACTATCAAGCTACGAAAGGGTCCATCCAGCTATAAAGTTAAGAGCTGGAAAATGTGTAATAACTTTAGAGCTGGTTTCTATCCAGCTTTAATTGTAGCAAGGTCTATGCCCCTGCAGGACTCACAGCTGCAGGAGCCTGCTATTTGACAGAGCAGGGGGAGCCCAGGATGGGGACCCTGGGATCCCCCTGTGCCAGCAATAAGCCATGATAAGATCCGATGCTGGATCCCACAATCACCTGTCATGCACGCGTGGCATGGCAGGCAGCACAGCTGTGTGGATCATGCATCTGATCCTATCATGTCTTTACCAGAATGTCTAGTGGGACCCAGTGTGTGGCAAGATGTGCACAGTGTATGCCAGTATTATCCCTGCTTCACACATGCCAATAGTTCCTCACTTACATATATTTATAACTGAATTTTACTTTTAAGGGGGAAAAATAATCAAACAATAGATGGCGTTATTATAAGTACACTGATATGCACTCAACCTATAAATCAAAATACCATGCGTTATGCTGGGAAAACTGAATCACTTTTTTGGTATATTAAATAATTATTGTGCAGTCCAGTTTGAGATACAGTAAGTTCCCTTTCAAATAAACTATTTGCACTGACAAATCTGATGAACATACATACAGCAGTATTTACATGAGAAAAAGTGGCAGTTTGATGGACCCTCAATCCTAAACCGATCCCCTAATTCTAAGGTGGAAGCAGTATTCGCCTGCCACATGCAAAGAAAACTCAAATACCATTTTATTTATAAAACAATTATAGAAGCTAGCAGTACCATTTTATTCAGGTTTTCTGACACTTCTCATTATAAAGCTCTGTTTTCAGTTGATTATATTTGCTAAACTTCAGCCATTCTGACTGATTGGGGGGGGGGGG